GCGAAGAAGCCCATGATCTCAAAGTAAAGAGTCACTTGATTGGCCACATTCGTCATTCCAGAAGGGAAGTTCTGAGTTCACTGTCCGTGATGTCGCTCTTGCAAAGCGCATTCTTGAGCTTCTTCTCCTGGTTGTCATAATAGGCGTGTCACTGGCAGCATGTCTAGGTGGCTCCAATGGCGCGCTCCGGTAGCCAGACAAACGTGCTCGGTGTAATAGTCCCGGTCAAGTTGATCGCGAAGGCCCAAGACGCATGCATCGATGTAAGTTTCCTGTCGGACAACCCGCTCATCTCACGATGACAGACCCATACCAATCCGCTTAAGGTTCGTAGAACCAGTATAGGGCATCACGGTCATTGGTGTATGCTTGGGCACGGCAGTATTTGAAGTTCCTCTCGCTCTTCCGGGTCGGTGTCGAGTCGTGTGTGAGCACTCAGTCATATGACAGCCAGTCGCTTGGCGTTGTCGGAGTAAAGGGGCTCGATGGGACAGGTGACGTCGGGTCGAAAGTGAGTAGCGGCTGCCGGCTCATGTTCGAGAGCAAGTGGAGTGGTGTCTGCCCCCGAATTAAAAGTACTTGGAGGCTTATGGTGAGTCGGATGGTGGAAACAGTGGTGGCCCAGCAACTGGATGTCGCGACGAGTCATAGCTCATATCCGGCCGGAAATGTTGTTGCGCGTGTAAGTTTGGTCGAGGTGGGGAGTCGCGGAGTGTTGGGCGGTTGCGCCCGATCGAGTGAGCCGTCCACGCTAACGGCATAGCGTTCTCAGGGTTGCGCCCGCAAGCCGAGGTGAGGGGGTGAGACCGCGCAGGCCTGAGAACACACATCGCTAATCCTGACTCCGATGCACCACCCGTGGACGTCGGCCTCGCTGGAATGCGCAGCACCAGCAGAGACGAAGGCACTGCAGCTATATCTCTGCGCGCCTTTATGCGACGCATAAAGCAATGGACATCACCACTGCGGCACCCAGCTGTGCTATTTACGGGTGAAAAGCTTCTCAAACGCCAGCCTACCCGAGCGGGGTGCAGCCTCGCAACCCAGAGAATAGCCCCACAGGAGACGACCCGTGGAGGTGCAAGAATGTGAATAGGCATGGTGAATGGGTTCCATCGAAGGAGGCGTTCAGCGCTACTATTGGGGTCTTGCACGCAACGGTGTCTGCGGCAGCTGCTTTGAAAGACAGGCTGCCATAAGTACGTTGCCACTTTCACGAAACGAGGCGTGAGGGAAAATGATGTGAATGTCTCCCGCAATCGCATGTGCCAATCGAACTGGATGGACGTAGTGACTGCTACTACTACTGGGTCTATTCCAGCCCGTTCTGACCTCAATATTTGAGTATGCAGGCTCACGTAGTGACTGCAGTGCTATCGTTCGCTAGGGACAGTTAGGGCTCCGCCAATACCGTATCTGCTTCAAGTGTGGGTACCAGCGGCGCATCATGGCTCGCGTAGCTGCTTAGTGAACGACATGTGTATAGGTAGGACTACCAGTCGCCTTGAAATGCAAAGCTAGAGTCTCTCCCCCAAAGCTCGGGATTGCCGGGTGTATAGCAGTATTGTCATTGGTAAGCAAATCGAGCCATCGGACTATCTATGCTACATCCACAGCACCCACGCACAAAGAACTACAAACAGATAAAGCAAAAAGACCTTGAGGGCTGCACAAATGGAGGCCGAGTACGACTATATTCCTGTCTCGATAGTCCGCCTTCAATGAGAGTGAAGACAGCGGTGCAATCGTCCATGGTTGCAGAAGCTTTGTGCAGCCGTTATCGCCTTGCGCGAGCAAACATAGCGGATTGGAAGGCAGCTCCGAAAGCACAAGATCAGCCCTGAACAAGAGAAAAGACGGACTCTGACGCGCCACAGGAGAAGCTCAGAGCGTGTGTAGTTCTGGTAGCGGTGGACGCCTCACTCCGCCCAAGGCAAGGCAGACACCACCTCTAGAACTGCAGACGCAGTTGAAGCTTCCGGTGCGGTTGAAGGTGGTGTTTGCAGAGCGGGGATGTCCGTCAGGCGCAAGGTGATGAAAGTTGTGCAGCGAGACAGGAAATACTTCGACAGTTTGACATCTGCGTCGACTGTGAAGATGAACACCGCCTGCTTCATCGCAGTTAAGCGTGTGAAAGAATGCTGAGTTATGTCCTCCGTGTGCTTGTAATGTTAGCTACGTCTGATCTCTCTCTAGTGTGTGCTTACATGAGAGATTAGAATGCCGTTCAAAAATGCCTGGTAGGGCGCTACCGTGTGAACGTCGTTCCCGATCACTACGGTGAGGTGATCTGGCGTGTACTGGAGACTTTTAAGGCGAGCAAAAAGATCCCGTCCGTGAGCCTCGGATCCAGTGACCGAGAGGCAGGTGGTCAGCTTTCCGTTCAACGCGGCCATGGTAGCGAGCCGGCTTGCGAGATTCTTTGCGTACGTCCCAGCATTAGTTCCTGTTTCCGCCCGTACTACTACCATCGTTCCGTCATGAGGCTCAATAGCGGCCAAGGTGCTGTCTTGGATGTTATGTGTGGTATCAGTCCAGACAGGATCTGGTAGCATCTTTTCTTCGTAGAACGGTCGAGGCGGTGGGGGTAGGGACGGCCTTGACATCACGATTGACTTTGTTGGGCTGCGCTCGGCAAGCTGTTCCAACTCGATTGGATACGACGAAAGACCTGCCCGCTTTAGTATGGCTCAGAAAGACGTCTTCGAAGTGGAAAGAACCGCAGACAAAGCCGCAGACAAAACTTACTCGCTACTATGTGGATGTAACCGTCGAGATGAGAATTGAAATTTGGACGTGATGGTCACAGAATCACTGATTCAGAGTAGCCTAGGTCGATCTCAGGTAATGAGAGGTGTCGCGCTCAAAGATCATGCGTCACTGAATAGAGTGGCAGCTCGCGATATGAGATTATCGAGGGTTCTTTTGATCGTGAGTGAACGTTACGTGTCTTCATTCCTACCTCTTATAAGAGTGAAGGATGCGGTCACATAGCGACAAATCTGGGCGGGATGTTGATGGGGCGAGTCCGAGAGACAAACGATACCGAATGAAGCCAAACGGATCTCGTGCCACACAGTCACGGCACCTACTTCCAATTTCTTTGACTTCATCAATTACTATGGCGGATTAAAAGACTCCACCCCGCTTAGAGAATCGCCTGGCAAAATAGCCTCACCAGCGATGACAACTGGTGGCAGCAGGCCCTTGCGCAAACGATGGGACTAATGGACAGATGGGCTCGCGCCGCGTTCGCAAGTTCTATGCGACGTACGGCGGAGTCCTTGCAGCACGTTTCGTTGGAAGACATGTGCCTGTGCAAACGTCGTCTTCTACCGTACCGTTGGACCTTCTCTTAGAATTGTCTTTCGTCGAAAAATAGTGTCATATGAGACACCACCGATTGTATGCTTGGGGATACGCCATCCAGTACACGTGCGTTTGCTCTCTTTCGGGAAAGCAGCAAAATATGTCCCGGGCGCTCTTCATCACAGAGAAGACGCGTACATATTTGACCATACATACTATAGCGCAATGTTCAAGATCAGTGACTCCAACCAACAGATACATTCTTATGTAGAAAGAAGCATTCTCGCTATAAGAACTGGCAATCCGCGAAAGTCTTGAAGAATACCGAAAAAACTGAGAAGTACCGGAAGGTCGCTACCAGATTTGGGAACACCAAACTCGCACTATTACGTCTAGGGCTACCTTTCACGACATAATTGCGTCCATATGCTTGCTTACTCGAGGAGCCGAACGCCAACTGTGGACGCGTAGCTTGATCTCGGATGTCTGGGCAGTCGCAGCCAGAGAGCATTGATGCACCTCTACGCCATGTGTGTTAGCAGATTGCATGGACGATGAGGCCTGCGGCTAGACAGGCGCGAATGAAGATTCTTTCGATGAATGCGTGGCAGCCCGAACGGAAATGCTGCAGACTTCGCTCGAGATAGCAATATTGAGCCCGACGCCAACCGGCGGGGACGCTCATGCATCTAAGTATCAGGACGACGCTGGAGGTTCAGCTCGCAGTCGGTACAGGGGTTGTGCAGCGCTGGAGTGCATGAAATGCGACGTGGTGGATATGCGATCAGTGAGGCGTTGGGCAAGCAAAGGGTGGTGGACGTTGCCATGGCGTGGGCGACGGTGGGATGGGTGTTGGTGTTGGTGTTGGCGTGATGTGGGGTACTGTAGCGTGGGGCGGCAGGACCTGCCAATCGGCGGCATCCGGGTCGCGCCTGCCATGTCGAGTACGAAGACGCGTTGGCCTGCCCTCCATGTCCACGACGCCCGACCATGTATCGCCCGCGGTTCATTGCCGGTCGAGATGTATCAAATGACTAAGTCGCCGTTGACAATGTAAGACCAAAAGGTCGCTCAGCTCTCACAGGCATCTCAGCGTCTGCAGTGAGTCACATCACCTGACCATCATGCGAGAGCCGGTACAGGTACGCGCACAGCGGTGGCGGTACTGCGAAGAACGCAAAGCTGACTGACGGCGCAGTACATAGCTATGGATTGAATGCCGGCACCTCGCTTTCTCTCTAGCCACGACGCTCGAGAGTACCATACGGAGGCCGGCAAAGAGAATGCCTCGCCCAGACGACCGTCACGAAAGAAGTACGCGAGATGCCGCGCACCCCCACCGAGCAGCGCAACGAGAATGCGGGACTGTGCCAAGCGTGCGACAGGCAGAACTCAGCGAGGCTTGTTTCGTACCCGTTCCACGAGCCCTCATCGTTGTCGGCGACGCTTCCGCCACACGCGCTCGAATTGATGCGACCCCGCTGGCGTTCCCGGTTCTCCGCCGTTCACGTAGCGACCTCAGGGCTTGTTTCCCTCACGACGCACCTATCTACCCCAACATCCTCACATTCACTAGCAACAGGACGGACGACGAAAGCAGCACAGAGTAAAGATTGGAAAAACTCATGTCATTTGTTACATACATTGCCTGGAACTCCATCACCACCCGCGCCTCGTCAGCACCCGCCCGTCTATCCCAGTGAGCGCATTTCTCTTGTAATCCCCGCCCATTCCAAATCATCAAGGTCGCTTCCGTCTGCAAACACCCCATGGCCGCTCTCGTCTCTAGATTCGTCTCCAGAGGCCTCTGGTTCGTCGTGGTTGCCCTCGTCTTCAGAGTCCTCTGATTTCCATCTCTCTTCCTCCTCCAAGACGGAAAGGGTGCTCGGGCCTTAAAAGGTCGACGTACGAGATTAGCATGGGTCTCGTACGCACTTCGTAGAGTCAGGACTTACCATCGGTCGTTCTCTTGGACAGGCCGCCAATCTGCAGGAGGGCGTCCCTGTGTGTGGCCAGCTTTGCCAACAACTGGCCGCAGCGACGCTCCGCGTCTTGCTGTGCGTTTTGCGCCGCGAGCCTCTCACGCTTCTCGTCCACCACAGCAGCATCGCTTCTGCTAGCCCTGTCGCTCCATCGCTCGCACTCCTTCTTCCAGTGATCGATCTCGGCATTGGCTTCCTTGGCGGCAATCTTCCAGTACTTCGTTGCGGCGTTGGTGTAGTCCAGCGCGCGGTTCATGACATCAATGACGCCTGGTTCAACCGCAGATATGTTCGAACGCGTTGCTTTTTGGACACTGTCGGAGGTCCTCATGCGCTTGGGGGGAGGGGTCTGCGGCGACGCAGATCGTGGAGCGGGTCGCTTCGTTGAAGGCATGCTAACGAAGGGAGGCGTTCTGAATATTTTGCAATCTGATGGGACCCGAGAAGATACAGTACAGATGGTTGAGGAGTGGACTGGAAGACCGGGGACGAGCACAACTGTAGCAAACGCCTTGAGGTAGGGGAGGCTCTACCTCTTGCGTCTCGTCAGGGCGCCCTTCTTGTAGCATGTATCGGACACCCACTACAATCGCCCCTCGTTTTGAAACCTATTGGGGCGCAATATCTCAGAGTTCATGAGCACGTCCCGTGCTGCGACTACATTTTCCACTATCACCCCAATATCCGCGCGACCAGCCGCATGTCTCTGGTCTGATACCGACGCCTCACCCCCACATTACTCTGCACATTCAGCCGAACTGGCTATACATCACGTTTGGAGAGGCTACACCATGGGTTGCCATTGCTGTCGTCATGTCTCGGTTCGCTATTGGCTACGCCCTCAGTCCCAGAAACATGTCTGAGATAGCGCTGAATGGCTCGATTGGAAGAAGACGAAGGATCAAGATCCACGAAACAGCTTGCATGATACCCACTCGTTGACATGATGCTTCTCATGTAGCGGTGACCTGGTGGCGTTGCTGGGCGTGCCTATGCCGATTATCAGCGGACCTTGTGCTACTGTCCATGCCACATCCCGTGGTGGAGACAACTTTCTCAGTGGGTCGATTTTACGGTTGGGACGAGCGTCGGTGGGTGCGAGATGCGGGAGAGTCCCGTCGCTTCCTCACTTTGGTCACGGCTCAGACGCGCTTTCCGTCTGCGTCAAACGTCGCCTCTCCAATACACTTCGCCCTTTACCTTCACTCCCCAATAATGCACTCGGGCAGAATGATCATGGGTCTTTCCTCTGTACTGCCAACACACTAATGAACACGGCGTAATCCGCAAGCTTACTCCACACGTCTCAGTCCGCTCCCGTCTTTGGCTTCGAAACATCTAGACACAAGACGCAGTTCACGACGTAGTCGCCAGGCTGCATGCTTGTCACATTGGCACTTTAGCTGCAGTCCCGGCAGACCAAAAGAAGCTTTACCAGAAAGCTAGCTCGCCATACCACTCCGACATTTTCATCACGTTCCCATTACGCGAGCGGCATTGTCGCTTTACCATGTTCACTCGCAAGTACTGCGCACGGACGTGGCCATTTGGCTCACTTTGCACGACTCATCACTTGGAACATATGCCATTCGGACCCATCACGCAATTTCCAGCCGCCTGGTCTCTGAGACCCAGTCCCCACTGTTGCTTCTGCTCACCGCGTCATTAACAAGCTCCACCGCTGTTTCTGCGAGCGCGCGACGTATCACTTCACGGCCCGCCGTGTGTAAATGGGCTCAGAATGCTGTGTAACGTTTCCTTTCAAGCCGCACAGACTCTTGCATGGGTTCGGTCGACCCTAGAACTCGCCGACTGGCTGTCTTCCCGGGTACCCGAGAGTCGGCCCAAGGTTTGGGCGAGTAACACTCGCCATGATCTCTGCTTTACAGCCACTCCAACCCGTGCCCCGACTGCCGCACCCCCACCTCCGTGCCTGAATAGCTGACACCCAGCCACCACCCCAGGAACCGACGCCTTGCATATCGAACAAACGACAACTTCAAGCCCAGCGCCCTTGTCAACATAGTAGTGACACCTACATCCTGATGCAGGTAGAGGTGGCGCAAGTCTGATCCGGAAGAGACGGCAACGCTGCTTCCATCACAGTCACTCCCCACAATGTATGAGCGCCAGCGCCCACGGCGCCCACGTCTATCACCGTTAACGTTCACGTGGCTATGCATGGTAGCTGCATGTCACCCGCAGATGGCAAACCCGAGGCGAATCTTCAGCACGACATGGCTGAACGCGTTGTTAGTCACAGACAAAGTCACTGCGCAGCTGATTATGGTAGCGGGAACCCGTCACACAGACCAACCAGTCCATTGGAAAGGGCAACGAGGCTATACCCAGTAAGATTGCGGCGGAGAAACACAATGGATTTGACAACTCCTGGACGTCGAGGAAACACACGCAAGCATCGTCATAGTAGACCGTTATCCTTTGCTTATCTGGCCGTGCGGAAAGTCAGTATTGACGTCCAATATCATTTCCGTCGGCACATCCGCAGTTGCAAACGCCGGTGCCGGACGCAGTCCGCGTGGTATCGGGCGCTCGCGCAGTGGTGATTTCGAAGAGACGGCACTCCTTGTCTTCTAGACTACGTCTGAAGAGTCGATTGTATTGTTCCAATATCATGGCCTCTGCAACGGCGTGGGCTTGTGCTGTCTTACGAGCCCCTGGCATCTTCGCGGCGAGCTTATCATCGGTCCTAGGTCATGATAAATATCACCCCATACTCAGATACCTCCATTTCTATCGTCGAAACGTCCCGTCCATCTAATCATCATCCAACCAGCCACTGTTTTCATGCCCTTCTACTAGGTACCGAACATGTACCGAGCCAACGAACTCAAGCGCTCGTCTTACCACTACCCTCCCACCACTCAACACATATTGCCCCGCGAGGATTTTGTGGACCGTGATCAGCAACGGGCGCAAGACCACGTTGAGAAGCTCGTCCTTCGCGCCGGCAATGGTACGTCTTGCACGACCTTTGGCACTTTCATCTCATCTAATAGCATTTCAGGCTCGGCATCGACGGCTTCACCCACACAAACCCTCGATCGCAGGCCGATAGAACTTCCAGACCACGTTGTCATCGCATGTCCCCGGCGCATCCACTCTTCCGCGCGCGCATTTCGCAACGATCCAAGCGACAAACAAGAGAAGATCAATCGATACCTCGATGAGCTGGACGCGGCGGTAACCGGAATCGACCAAGAGCTAAGGGGCTTTTACAAGGTGCGGCCTGGCGGGCAGGTAGCTCCATGGCGTCTGTCACATAATGGCGGATCGAGCTTGAGGTGGGGTTTCCGGACCGAGGAGACGCAGCCCCTCGAAAACCTCACGGCCGTTTCTGGTGGGCTTCAGTTGCTCCTCCGCAACGGAACCGAATACTGGGAGCCTGGCTTTGGGGGCATCATCGAGGCTGGCCACACCGTCCGCCCAATGGGCCCCTTCGGATCGTCGGAACCCGTTGATACTAGCCACCAAGACACGACTCAGAGCCTCAATCCACCTGTCACTAATCGCCCGTGGGGTGACGAGGTCAGCGACCGCCCAAGTTCTGAACTAAAGCGCTCGGTCAGCGCTTCCTATGGGCCGCCATATGGTGAGCTACCCAAGCATTGGGTAGAGAAGCTCAACCATTCGGCTGGTTCGCATTCTCGCGCTGATGAAGACGACCTGTACCGTCGGGACTCTTTCGGCAAGAGGCCATATGCGCCCAAGGTGTTAGTCCACCCCCAGGAGGATGACTACAAGCTTGCCCAGTCTAGTCTTAACCCAAGCAAGCTTGGCCAGACACGCCACGAAGAAGGTGAGCTTGAACAAATATACCGGCGGGAACATCTTCTCACTGGCACAGCTGCGGCCACCGTTGCGCTTCCACCTAGTCCCTCTGACGGCCCCGACGACGTTGGGTTCGAGGCAGATGATGAGCCCCTAGCTGGTTTACCCTTTGACGAGGAGTCTATCTCAGATCCGGCTGTACCTGGGCTAAATATGGATTGGGTCTTCCCGATAGTACCCTCCACACGGATATTTGAAGATCCAGTGAAGCACGATCAAGGCCAATTCGTCGCCCATGTCTACGACGATGCTTCTATAAGCCCCTTCACCTCTGCACCCAGTCTGAGGTACACGGAGAGGGCTACTGTTGAGGCGTCGACTTTCTCGGACTTGTACCCTTGCAAGACGGTCGTTGCTTCATCCAACACCATCGCCTCAGACTTCCTTGAAAAGATCCAGCCGACACACGATGTAGTCGGTCCTCAGCCTACTTGGCCTCGGCTTCCGACGCGCCAAGATGCCAGCAACGACTTCGTCGTGGACATGTGCGAAGGCGCGGAGCAGGCGCGCGAGGGAGCGAACTGTCGGCCGAAGGATGTCTTCTCTGTCATCACCTTTCTCAAGTCCATCGGCAACTGCTTTGTGAAGTCTGTTGTCGTGCGTCTTTATCACCGCCCTCGGGACCGTTCTTTTCGACCAAGAAGAGATGATAGAGCCAACGTGAGCGGTTGCTGAGGATTATGGCATTTTGAAGAGTTGGTGAGTGCATTCCGCACGACATGGTTTCGGTGTTTGGGTGGTCTCTGCAATATTCACGGGGATGGTGATCATGTTGGAATCAAAGTCGGTCTTCTTGTTCAGGGCATAGCCATTGGTATCATGCAGTGTGTGAGTTGGCGCGCGATGTCATTCATTTCCTAGCTTGGGTCACCACCTCAAGCCTTTACGTTTCTTACTTTCAGCGCATCGTCAATGTAAAGTATATTGCCCTCGCTATGGGGCTTGAACTTCGCGTGGTATTTTACGATTTCCCGCTTCAACACATCTTACTCATAGAGGCGCTGATGTATTTACCTTACGAGTTCCCGCCTCCCGCTTCACGCTTCCTGCACACAGTAACGACCGTTTATGGTCGAATAATCAGCACACCGTGGTGATGTCTATCTCGGCGGGTGGGAGGCGAGGGTCCGAAAGCAATAGCTTCAGTCAACTCCACGTCAGAACCACTCCTGCATCGTTGAGTTTTGTTCGTTAGCTACAAAGTCACGTCGCTAGACCACCTTCACTACGGGCGCGCCCTCCGTGGTACGCAGGTTGCACGAATTGCCACTGGCCTGCCGTGACACCTAACTCAGCACGTCGCATTCCATTACTACCGAAGAATATCCATTTTGCAAATCCTTCTTTGCTCAGGTGACGCATCATACTCATCGACTCACTCCTGCGGCCGTACCAAGGAGTGTGCGTCGTCTTCTCCGTCGATACAGTGTTTGCAGCCGTATGGGTGACTAAACCAACGGCGCCATCGTCGTCAGCGCGCGGAAAGAGCGGACCGCTTGTAAAGTCCCGTCTCGACACGACAGGCGTGTGGTTGTGGTTGTGGTTGTTCTGGGCTTGTTGGTGGGCGTCGTCGCGGGTCGAGTTATCGCTCTTCGCTTCGTCTTGCGACGTACGCGCATGCCGGGTCTGTATCGGGGTATCGCTGGCACGTTTACTTGACAGCGCGCGTTGTGGGCCGAGAAAGGGTGGAAGCCAAGCACCGTGACGGCCAGCGTCGAGAGTGAGGTGGTGCTAAAGGTGACGTCATCGGTGCCATAATGGGCCGTCGACAGGAGGACTGTCGCGTGCACGGTGATTGCAGCGAAGCGGTCGTGACTGAGGCGACGTGCTGGTATGTGAGACGAGCAATGTTGGCCAGGCAAAGTATAAAAAGGGAAGGGGTAGATGTCAAAAGAGGGACCAGAATGCATCGGGAGACCAACCAGTGCAAAAGGGCAAAGGCGACATAGCTGCTTGAAGCTGGGTCCTGACTAGCTCACTCTGCCCGCGCGCTTGTGGCGCCCGCCAAAACTAGATCCCGCTAGCGCTGCCTACCCCACACGTCTGCAGCGCTCGAGTTCAGAGTTCATCAATCCACCAGACATCGCTGCCGACCCTGGAATGAATTCGTGCATCGTCAAAGTCCTCATCAGTCTGAAACACGAGATTTGTTCTTTATTAGATCAAGCTTCACGACAACAAACGCGCGAACCCGTGCATGCAGATTAATCATGTCATTCTTCGCTTCTCATCGCAGAGATATCTCCTTGACCATCTGTACATTGGCTTCTGATGCGACCAGCTTCGCAGTCGTCTGATCCAATCGGCTGATCAATTGCTTACACCATCTCGCCTACCTTTTCTTTGATACTTGTAGTTCTGTGTTTGAAGTGTCTTTCTTCTCCGTCATTTTGGACTACCAAAAGTATGGGCGATTATCGACCTTCACCACCCGGGCGGTCGAAGCTCACGAGCCATTCGTTCTCCCTGCACTATACACTTCTCAACTCCCTTCTTTGTCGTCCAAGCGATGTATACTAGAGCCAGCACTGATCGACGGACTTTTCGCGTATCGCTCGAGACGGCGAGTGACGTTGGCAACATTGTTCTCAAGATCAGTGGTATTCTCCCCGATCCTACGCACCACCGACTCGGCCCTAGATTTCAGTGATACCAGTGTCGGGCTGGGCGTCCACAATTCCGTACCATCAGTCATTGGATGGGGTCTGATGGTCGACGTCGTAGGGAGATCTTCACGGCTGACGCAATGTTGAGGCTCAGGGTTCTCAATGCGACATTCGTTCCTACAGCCAAGGTGACAAATACCGGACGCAGGTGCTGCTGGCCTCGCCTCACCATCCACAGGATCGCTATGCGTGTGATCGTGACTAGTAGGGGTGTTAGCGCGATCCGCACCCTCGACTAAAAGATGAATCGAGTGGCAGCAACTCTCGCGTGCCGCTCGCATCATGGCCGTTCCGTACTCGCTCAGTTCGGCCTCGGATAGGTCTTCTGCATGGCGGCACGGGCTGCGCGTGGTTGGTTGAACGTTGCTTGAGTCGGGGCAGTCCGCCATGGCCACCGTTTGACTTGCAGGAGATCTTAGTTCACGTCTGCGATCTGCCGGGACAATGGGCGTTGGCGGGCAGTATTCCTGCTAGCAAGATACGTTGATAAATCGCTGGAGACTCATCATCTAGCATAGTAACGCGATTGTCTGGGACAATCATGTGTATGATTGTGAGATTGGCAATCGCACGGTACAGCACGCAACATATCGCGTACATGACCTTATGCGAGTGCGTTGGTAAGTGAAAATGAGCAAGACAAGCTTCAACGACCTAGCAAATGATCGACCTCCCAGAAGAGGTACTTGAAGCCATTATAGGAAGGCAAACAGTATCCGGAGAATCCCATGGCGAAAGACGTGAACAGCCCATGATGCACAGCGTCGACGTTTGCGTCGCGGAACTCGTGAACAAAGGGCAGGACAATCCAGCCGAATGCCCAAGGTGTCAGACTCTTGCAGAGTTGGTTGCGCGCGAGATGGCAAGAGTGTTGATGGTTACATGTGATGTGGTGAAGGTGTGGTGTTCTACTCGAGCAGGGTGGGGCTGCGACGCTACGCCCTAAAACGATCAAGCGCCCCAGAACCTTCAGACCATCCAGATGTCACGACGTGCACGACATCCGGCCTACATCTCATGTCTCCGAATTCTGCGCGACTCCTGCGCCCGTCGCGCCCACGGGCGCCACGTCCCCCCAATTCTCGTTGCTGACTTCAATGTTCACATGAATGTGGCATGGTGTCTCGATCTCCAACACGTCGTCTTCGGCAAGGTAGTGTCTGCGTCGGCATCAGCACCGGGCTACACATCCTCACGCCGTCCAAGACTCGTATTCGGGACATGGTTTCCTAGCACGTTCAGGAAGCGCGTCATTGCCACAACGGAGATGTACGACAACAACAGCGAACTTCCCCGCGCCTCATCTCGGAGCCGCTATCGACTTTCTCACATCTCCTGCAACCTTGCGATCGAGCACAGCTTTACATCACACGTGGCGCCTTGGACAGTCAACCTCTTGAGGACTCCAATCTACTGGCGCAGCAACAACTTCGTCTACCGCAACTTGAGGTGACGTCACTTGCAGCGCATATATTCGATGGGCCTCTACCACAATGTTCTCCATTCCGTGACGACTTCGCCAATCAGCCACGATGCCGATGCGAGCGAACAGCAGCCTAGCTGGCACCAGGAGACCGACGCCCTCACCTTGGTGGTCGACAGCCATGCTATCCGGGCGTCATCCCACGCCAGCACCGACCGAGCCTGTCTTTCTGCTGGCGAGCGCAGCGCCGGCACGGACTTGGCAACCGTCAAGCTTCCCACAACGCTCGAGGCTGGCAAAGACACAAACGATGAGGTCGGCGACAGAGCGCACGACAGCGCAGAAGTGGTCGGTATACGACATGTCGTATTCTTGGCCACGACAGATCGCTGACACTTGCGCAGATACTGCCTATCTCCTCCTTCGCGACAAACGACCCTGTGACGAATGCACACACGCAGACCACCGATATGGCGATCCATACAGACCAGTCCCCAGAATACAACATACACATACACAGGGATTATTTGCCAACGGGTCATGCAAATAACCAAATTGCTCTTCGTTTCTTGATGAGCAACTTGGCTGGGACAGGGAAGAAGAGCTGGCTTGCTCTCTATTCTTCCTGTTGAAGCCCTGAACCGCGCCTTGCCCGCCGACTACGCGTCCGAAGTCGCTGTTATTCTGCGCGTGTCCTCCAACACGTGGGTGTCTCCTCCGCTTCCAGCGTCCGTCCTTGTTCACCATACTTTCTCCGGTATATTCTGGGTATCAGGGACCGCGAAGCGATAGCGGGGCCTCCCGCGGCAGGGCGCGCATTCAAGAACATGAGGGCAGGATGCGTTTACGGGCTGACAACAGCCGCCTACCTTTCAAGCTTGCGGTACCCGCGGTTTCCACTGTCAAGATTGGACGTTCAGGGGGCATAAACGCAGGTGGGAGCATTTCCCGCGCCTCAATCTTGAGTTTCGCCTCCATTGCATTCGTCCGGAGTCTAACTGACACTCTTCATAGCATCGCCCTTCACCTCGAACATCCAGTCCTGAGCGCCTTCCCCGTTCATCTCCGCGTCCTCGCTACATTTAGTTACTCCGCCCCAATCAAGCGAATTTCTTCACCGACGTAACCCTCGATGCGCCGACCAGCATGACAAACGCTGCGTTGTACCATGCGAAATCACCCGTACAATGTGGATCATACACAACAGGACGATGGAATCGCAGTACAACTCGGTCAAGCATATGCGAAAAGCCCCTCGTTCCTTGATGAGCAGCCAGGCTGCGGCAAGGGAAGTGGAGCTGGAGAGATAGAGCATGGCTTTGCTACAGGTACTACTCCACCTCATCGCACGCCGTGCGGACAACTTGCTGGTTGGTCGGCACCACGACGCTGCAGATGGAGGCTGAGGGCTCTGCGTCTCGCTCACGCTTCACATACGGCACATGGAAAGACCAAAAGCAACATGGAAGCATGGAGGATCAAAGTTGACGGATTCAAGGCCTCGGTACATGAGCTAGGCGTTGTCGTCGAGGGAGAGGTCTTGCAGGTTGTCGAGCCCCCTAAGAAAATCAACACCAGTCATATCG